TGGCTTGAGCATATATATCTATTATAGGTAGCAATGCTCATTGTTGCAATAATTGTTACTCACTTTAATTCAACAGACATGTTTCTTTTGGCCTTGAATTGGTTTAATTGTCTTTTTAAGGAATTGATTTGCCAACAATTTGGATGGCCAGTATATTTCATTTCCTTTGCTGCCTTTTTCATCCTTTGCTCTTCATGCTGTATTGCTTGTTACAGACTCATAATATAAATAATCAAATCAACATGCTTTGTTACACTGTTGTTTGTATGCTGTAGAGCTCAATAACCTATTTCAAGGTGACCCTCATTGTGGTAACTGTCCCATAATCAACTTCGTTCAACATGATCTGAACTAAATTGTCAGACGGGTTAGTTCCAAAATATCAGGGCAATCAATCATTAATGAGTTTCCTAATGCAAGACAAGTCAAGTAACATCAAAATATTACATGATTGCTCAGTGTGTACAAATTCATATTATTGTTATCCTGTAGAAAATGAATTGACCCCAGATGCAGATGAGTTCCCATCCTTGCTGGAAATACGGGTAATATGCTTGAATGACCTATTGTTTCAACATGAATGAACTTTTACAACTGCAGCCTCCCACTGCACTTGGATTTGTAGACACCTGCGTAAGATATTGAGATTCGGTTACTGCAATCTTGCACATTCTGTATTATACCAAGAATAAGGAGACACCAATGGCATGCTACCAGACACGAACATAAAAAAAAAAAAAAAAGCCCCAGTGAACGGGGCATAAACTAGATGTGAAGAATAATTATTGACAGAAGGTATTGCTAAACTAAAGCTACTCAATGCTTCATTTATGAAGTTACAAATGTTAAACCTGTAGACTAAGGTAGTAACACTAATCTTATGGGACATAAATTATTACTCCAAGAATCTCTCCACTTAGCTTAAGGGTCACATCATTTGCAGCATCCAATTTCAATCAATGAATTTGTACAAACAATTCTGGTGAAATTAGCATTAGACTTCAGCACGAACTTCATATTGTGAAGGGATATGGAAAGGATAGACACATTACACAAGTGTTGAGGAATATTGCAGGAAAAAGGAGGTTAAGAATGTATGTCCTATACAAGCTTGCAGTTTATGATTAGCAATAACAAAAGCAACTTAATGGACGTGCTACTGCAATCAGAGATGTGCATCGATAAGAAGGTAATTACCCAACCAGAATTCTCTCCTCTCAAAGATAGAAACACCAAAAATCACAGTTTTTGCATTGTAACGTTGCTATATAAGATTTCTCATCATCACTTTGGCACTCAGAAAAGGTCATTATTATACCCAATTGCTTGAGTTGCTTTTGTTGAGAATGATTTATAGGAGTGTTGGATACATGCAAAAATGTAATGGAAAAATTCATGGATAATCACCCAAAATCTAACAGGAAATTAATCTGATCTTAAATGTGTTTTAAGAAGTATGGCTATGCAACTACATGGCACAAAGCCACAAACAAGGTAAACTTTGTTATCGTAGCTATGCCACAAAGAAATGGCACTCGGTAGAATTTAAGTATAAAAGAGATTATGAAGTAATGAACAAAATGACATGATGTCTCTGGCCTCTAACAGAATCTGACCGTTAAAAGCATCTAATGTAAGACAAGCCACGACAGCTTAAATGAGTATATATTCTTTGAAATCAAAGTAGATTTTGGCTGTTTGACTTCAAGGTGCAAAAAAACATAGTGCGGTTATACCATCTGATGCCCTAAACCAATAAACAGAAACTTGCAGAGTAACCCATTTATACCCTAAAAGATAGAGGTTTTGAAGAAAGCTTCTTGTTGGCTAAAGTAAAGTAAAATAAAATAATAAGAACAAAGCATCCTCTTGTCTAACCAAACTTAGACCAATTGTTCTCATCTCACTGCCTTCCACCAATCCGACCAAATGGAAAACACATGTGATAAACAGTTAGTAGCATGATCTCTTAATTACATAGGTGACATTTGGGCACTACTTGATTCTCTTTTGGCCATTACTGCCTATTCAGGGTGCAACGAAGTTAGCAGAGGGAAAAAATAGTTGGGGATTCTCATACACTTGCTGTTATGCCACAAAAACATAAAAATGGGTTTTATTTTGGAGTGTGATATTGGAGGAGGCTACTTCTCCTCCAATCTCTTTGTAATATTTCATCTTTGCTGACAAAGAAACACCCTTGTCTGTGCAAATATGAGATGAGAAAACACACATCCTAAGGTTTTGACCATACATGTGTCAAAGCTCAGTGCCAGCAATCATGTAAAAAACATACTACTAGTCTAGTCTAGGAAAAACACAAAAAGAGATGGATTTGATACGTGCCCTACTCACTAGTTAATCAATTTTAGATTCTTGAATGCTATGAGTTTTCCCATCGTAAAATAACATAAAATATCTTTTACCTACTAGGAAAAAAATGAATTGAAAGGAAACATACGCTCAATGGGATATAACATGACTTACCTGGAATGCAGAACGAATTAGCTCCTCAACATAATCAACAGTTGCCCCTTTTACAAAATCATATGAAATATCATCAATCACCAACTTTACACCTTCTCTCTGAAAAACTCTGCCAATATAAAAGGATAAGAGAAAATCAGGTTAACAACAAAACAAGAAGAGAAAGGAAATAAGTATCTCTCATATTTAGCAAAAATAAGGGACTAAAAACATGGTAATTGAACAATTTATGAAGGTGGAGAGATAAAGGACCTGTCATCTGGGTTCATTTTGTCATCCAGGTTGAAAACATACTGAAACCCAGAACATCCACCGGTTTCAACACTCAAGCGAAGCATCTTTTCATCCAGTGATGATTCAGTTGCTTGCAATTCTTTCATTCTCTGAAAGGGATTCCTAAAGTCAATAAGAAAATTATAACAACAATAAATCTCAGACATACTTCAGAAGTCAAAATGTAGACAATACCAGTGTTAGAGATATTTTCTTAACACCTAGCATTTGTACACCATATTCATTACAACAAATGACAGAAATGGAATTCCATAAATTTAAAAATTAGCAGGTCTAATTGGATTTCAGTTTCACCAATGGCAACATGAATTTGTGGTGGCAAATACATTCAAACTACAATCTACGCTAAATATCAATTGAAACAGAAACAACCCAAAAGGGAAAATAACCAAAAAAAAAAAAAAAAACCCACAAAACAGATTCTGACAAATGACTTGGAACATAGATTAGTTGTCAAACTATGAATAAGAAAAAAAAAGCTTGAATGAGACAAATTTATCAAATAAACAGAGGAAATGGAGGAGAGTCCATTTACCTTGATGCAATTATCGGTCATGTGAACGGCGTCGGGAGAAGGAGATTGGGATTGAGAAGAGGCATCCTGAAGAGCCGAAGAAGAAGATGAATGAGAAGACTTCAGGAGGATGTGATTTCGCCGAATTCGAGCTGCGAAGAACGGCGTCATGCTTTGGATCAGCGACCTCGTCATGGCTACTGAGATTTTTCCCACTCAATGCATCGTCATCGTAATTATGGTGCAAGAGGCAAGATTTCTCTTCCTTTTTCAGTTTTCTGATTCTCTCTCGCTGGAAAACTGGGTTTGTGCCAAACACAGGTCACGTGTTCATCATCTTACCTCTTGTTTGGGTAATATCTTATTTAATTCTTAAGCTTTTTGAGATTTGAGATAGTCCC